TAAGGGTTACGTCCAGGACTATCTCAAGTTGTATGGAAGGAACTAATATGCGTGCCCACCAAAGCAGGTACAATAGCTTCGGGCGCCAGGTATTTTAACATTCCCTGGGTGCACCATCCAGTGCAAAGTGCAACCCTCCGAGCTGTACGCAGAAGTTGAGCCATCGCGCAGGCCATGTGACACGCACGGCAGGTATGACGTCACAGTGGCATCCACCTATTCTTTGCCCACCATTTAACTGCCGTCCTGGGTGTATCGACGTACCCACGCCGCCTGGTGTATCTTAAGCTTTTCTGCCAATCATGACCGCACGGTGCTTGTTGGGGCGCCCAGTGACTGCGGTGTGGTAAAAATGAACGATGGGCGAACGAACGCCTCTAAGTGAATAATTCAAACCACTGCAGTAAAACCACCAGAGAAGGCTTCGCTTTTACCTCAACCCACTGTTTCATACAGGCTGAACACTGAATGCCTTGGGTGACATTAATTACTGTTAATGCTATGAATTGGTTGTTGCAGCTGGTACAGAGAACGGTGGTACGTCACATCAATGCCTCAGCATATCCCAAGAGAGACGAAAAGACAACCGTGCATTTCTGCCTTATTTCAACAGCTTCTATTAGTTCTTTCAAATTGCTTCGTCACGCGGCCGGGCTGACTCCTTGAAACGAGACTTTTTGTGGAGCTATGGGGTTCAGAACTTAAAAAATATTGGCCGTCAGTGCAAACAAATGGGAGGTAAACTATTGCAAACGTCACATCACTGGTTGCATAGAAAATTACCAAGAAAAGTCTCTGGTTGCTGGCTTGAATCACTAGGCAGCCTTTTTGTTTGCGTATGGTGCAAACTCAGACTTAAACATTACGTGCGTTTCGTGCCGTTCTCAATTCTTTGTTGCTTCCACCATGATGCTACGACAAGTTTCTGAGGAAAGGGAGGACCTCCCACCTATACCCGTACTCGCACTAGCCCGCTGCATCTTCGAGGGAGTCAGCTCCCGCCAACTGGTAGGGTGCTCACAGTCGTGTCACAGGATTGGTGAAAGGCGCTGTCGTGGCTGCATTGCGCGGCAGCTCGCCTTTCAAAAACTATCAACACGTACACTTTAAATGGCCGGCGACTAATACACTGGCCCCAACATTCGCGTTGGAAAAAGTGGAAATGATATTGCGGTGATAATGACAATTGTAGCATTGAACTGCACTCTCGACCTCGCTTGTTATGCAGCTTGCATCGCACCCTGCACCTGCAGCGATTGCAATACCAATCGGTGCCCCCATCTGAAGACGAGACACAATTAAAACATCGCGCGGAAACAAAAAGAAGGCAATTGGGCGGCCCCACTTCCAGCGCCAGTTTATCTATCGCCTGAAGAAAGGCGCACATCGCGTAAGTATTCCACGCCGGTTCTCCGCCTGTTGCCCAATCCCCGGCCCGTGCCGCCACATCAGCCAGCAGATGGATGTTAAGTGGGGCCACACCGATCCGGCAAATCCCCTCCGCTCGCTGCAGCAATCGGACGGCCTCGTCAGTTCGGCCCATCTGGCGGCTCTGGAATGCAGTCCACCCAGGTTGTTTGGGGCTATTGATGTACAAGGAGTTCCTTCGGCCCATTCGAGGTTATTCGCGAGGTCTCCGAAACTGATACAATTGACTTCAATTCCTTCGTGACGGTCATCGTCCATACGAGTGCTGGAGTGATGTGTCGATCTCCGGCTGCGGAACGAGCCGCGCCGCCACAGCTGGCCCGGGAACGCACCGCGGCCGCTGGCTCTTTCGGCGTCGCCTTGCCCGGCAGACGACGGGCCAGGCAGGAGAAAGGCAGCGCCGGCGCTCGCCCGGCCCGGGCGTCCTTGGCAGCACCGGTGTTGCGCGTAAGCGGCCCGAATGCCGCAGGCGCGGACGGCCAGCACCGACCACAAAGATGGCGCTTCCAGCCACGCATAGGCGGCAGCACCGGTGTAACATTGCGATCGCATCGTATGGGAGAACGATCATCCGTCCAATGACCTTTAGATCATATGTCGGCTGTATTCTGGAGCGCAATCTGCCGCCGCTCACAGTACGAGGTCACCACTGTTCATCGCATGCGACCAGAGATCAATGAACCACGGTCCTGACTCGAACCATGGCCACGGGCAAGCCACGGCTGACGCCAACACCGGTGACGTCGGACACACCCGCCGGAGATCTCCCCGTTCGCCAAGCATCATGTCCGACGCGGGAATCTTGCGTGTTCACGATGCTGCAATATCACACATTGTACCTTGCGTAACAGTCGGAGTGGCTGCCTTCTATTGACCGGTTTCAACAGGAATATTGCGTCAATTACCTTAGCTTTTCTTCCTGCACCTTGCGCCTTTTCGGTTCGTCACCTCAATAGCAGGTGTATCATCAGAAAATCGCGCGACGTGTAAAACAAAACCGAGGTTTCTGGAATTGGGATCAAAGAATCTTGCTCGCCGCAATGTAAGTCATCCCTTAGATCAAGATGTCTTTTGAAATCATATTGAATAGTTGGATAAACCAGACGGCTGCAGTCCATATGCCACCGCTAGTTGTCTACAAGCATGACATACACAAATGATATGTTTGCGCGCTGGGCATTTAAACAAAAAAAAGGAAATTTACCTCCGTTCCTCTTTTATCAAAGCATGCCCAATGAGGCCAGAAGGGAGATGGGAGGAAAAACTGCCAAGGACGCATTCGACAAAGCAAGGCGGAGAAGATGCTCCGTTTATAGCCTGATAACATCTACGCGCGTTCGACACGTGAAAATAAAACACCTGTGTGGTCAGACTATTACAAAAAATGTTCCATATTGGTATGGAATTTCGAAAAAGGAAAGCCATTTTCAAGATATTTTCCTGCAATCTACAGTTATGCCCTTAGTTCTTTCATTTCTGGCCTATGCGCCTACGAATCTGTTCGGTTTTCACACAGCCTAATCTGACATTAACCGGAGAAGTATGACGCCATAGAAACGTTATACCAATTCATACCTCTCAATATCTATACCGTGTCCAATGTCACGCAAACACGACCATTGACATTGTGTCTGACGTACCTTAGCACGAATTGTCGCACCAGCGGCACCGCAACCGAGAATAAAAATGCAAGCAACATGTCATCGCGAAAAATGAAAAAAGAACACCACGAGAAAGGGCCAAAACACGCGCGCATAGCGATGACTGGTTTTTAACCGTGTACATTACCAGATCACCTTGCGGCGAATTGTGGTATTACAAGTGAGTCAGCACGTTCGCTACGGCGGCAGTTCCAACACAACCAGTCTGGCAGCGACTCTGGCGTCATGAAGACGTTACGGGACGCAATCAAACGACGACGCATTGATGAGCATATCATGTCTATATCTAAGACACAATTATGTTATCTAAAGCAGTCTTTTGCACTTAAAGGCATGTTAACAATTAGAAAAAAGTTATTTTCATCATGTCTGAATGCCTGCCTCAGTATCTAACAATGTGAAACAGCCAAGTTAAAGGGATTGTTCTACATTTGTATGGGTTTTAAACTGCAATAGCCACTTTGAAGATCATTCGTTAAAGTGCGAAGCCTGCCTTTCATAAACCTAAAGCCCTCTTGTTTCTGAACCACACACCCACGAAGATGAGCAGGCTACCTTTTTGCCGACTACTTTAAGGCCATTAAGGCATGCATGACATCATAGAAACGCTATTTAAGTCCTGCCACCCCACAGGGGGTGAGGCGTTCAAGACCAGGAAGAAGATTATCGTCGAGCCGTTCACAACTGGCGTCCGTGAGCACGACTTTCAAATAAGGCGGACGTCGAACGGCTCTCAATTAACGTTAAGTAAGCTTCAATCATGGCCACGTTTTGTGCCACGTAATATAAGAAGTTGGGCATGTCTGTTTCACTTGCTAGCTATTACGGAAATCGTTCTTGTAACATCATTATTTCAGACCACCAGAAAGGGCCAAAGCACGAGTACATCACGATATTTGGCTTAGCGAGCACATACGGCACCGAAACTGCCACCTTTCTGCGAATTTGAAGTACCACAAGTGAAGCCATTAAGAAGCCCATCAACGTGGGCTCATTTCATCAACTTGATGCTTGCTAGAATGTCCTCAAATGTGGAACATTCTCTTTTAACAATGCCAGATCAATTTGTTCGGTGTAAGGCTAAGCAGCAGCGTCTACGGCACGACATGGCCATAAAGACGGCTCATCTCCACGTTTGTGGCAGCGGGTGGCAACACTGGCCTCCAATGCCCCACAAACCTCACTTTGATTGGGTTAGCACACCGGCAGCTCCAGCCAGGATACCAACGCACCAAGACACGTGACGCGAAGGGTAATGTGAGTGTCGCGTGTGACGCTCGAATTACAGCTGAGAAACACATGCCATCTGGTATTCCGCACAATTTGAGAACCCGAAAACAATGCGCACCAACTTCCGCACTTCCTCCATAATGTGCGTTTGAATCCCTCACTGTCGTCTGTTAAACGAATAGGCACCCGAATTACAGTTCTCGAGCCCCTCTCGGGAGTGTCGGTGCTCACGCCGCCCAGTGTCAACGGCTGGGGTGACCTCATCAGCGGAGTGTCGGCACTCACCCCGCCACCGCGGATAAATATCTAAAATGTCCCGTGTCGGTAGGATGGCGATACGCAGCCCGCTGCCGCGGATCAACAGTTAGAGTGTTCGTGTTGGCGAAGTTTCGGTACTCACCCCGCCGCCGCGGATCAACAGCTAGAGTGTCCGTGTTGGCGGAGTGTCGGTACTCACCCCGCCGCCGCGGATCAACAGCTAGTGTCCGTGTTGGCGGAGTGTCGGTACCCACCCCGCCGCCGCGAATCAACAGCTAGAGTGTCCGTGTTGGCGGAGTTTCGGCACTCACCCCGCCGCCGCGGATCAACAGCTAGTGTCCGTGTTGGCGGAGTTTCGGTACTCACCCCGCCGGCGCGGATCAACAGCTAGAGTGTCCGTGTTGGCGGAGTGTCGGTACTCACCCCACCGCCGCGGATCAGCAGACGTCGGAAGTCGTCGGACGTGTTCTGGAAGGTGAGTTTCTCCTTGCGCACATTGGTCGTGGGCTGGTCGTTTTGCAGCACCAAGTCGTGATTAAATGTGACGTTCTCCTTGTTCTTGAAATGCACGGTGATCGGCAGCAGGAAGCCAGCGTAGCCTGACTCGCACACCTCGTAAGGCGGCTCGTGCTTCACTGCGGGAAGGAGACGATGGCATCAGCGGTACCCAGACACGCAGGCACGACACACAGACTGGATGAAATCGACGCACTGAAGGGTGACCCGGGGCGACGGCATCAGAAACAGCAGGATGATCCACGTCGAGGCCAACGGAAAGAGCCAAGCGTTAATCACGGTTTGGTAAGAAATAAACGTCACCAGTACAGCTTCTCTTGGAAAAATCAATGAGCAACAAAATCCTCTTAAAATTAATTTATTAAGTGATAGTCGTGTAGGCTCTGACATCAGCCGGCTCTTGACAACACCAGATCAAGAATTTCCCGCACAACGCAAAATTGAAAAAAACTGCCTGAAACTTTGTTCTTGCTCAAACTTAATCGGTTGGACCTGGCAGTGAAATCTGATTCAACAAGGGCGAATGGCAAAACTGATTCGAACTAAACCCATATGCTATATTTGTGTGCAGAATCTGAGAAACTTCCATGTCGCGCAATCCCTGCTCGCTATGCAAGGAAAGGGCCAAAACAATCCAATGAGCAACCATATGGCGATGAAATGCAACACGTGCGTGACATGAAAATAAAAAGTGAACTATTTGTTCGGATTGTTAGCACGTTAATGGCCAGAAAAGGCATTTCATTCAGCTGTACGTCCACAGCTACACCATGCTAAAATATCAACTATGGCGTTTAACGTGAGCAATTGATTACCACGTTGTCGCGCATCCATGTAATGTTGCAAAGACTATCGAAAACGTATGAAAGACAGTATTTGAAACATCCGACAGGATATTGTGATCTGGTAAAGACTGAGCTATCAAGAGCATTGCAAGAATACTACATTCATAACGTTCAAACGCCTTCCAAAACAAAAGAAGTCGCAGCACTCCACATTTTGTACTGAGATACATGGGCATACCAATGTCCCAGGTCTTTCGAGGTTTACACCAAAATTATTGTTTTATATTTGGGGCCAGATGGGCACTGCCATTAAAAAAAAAATCCTCAGCCACAAACGGCACGTACACTTCATTAGTCCAGGCGGCATAGACCACACGTGACGTCAGCCCTACGGAGTGTTTCCAACAAGGTGTTAGCATTACTGATAGATGTTTTTTTCGGGCTATCGTGGTGATCTTGTGTGTTATCATATGCACGGCGTTTCAACCGGCTAGTTATCCGGCTTTTCTCGGGTGCTCATTGGTCTTCCGCGTGACCCCGTTTGAAAGGTGGCGGACAGGAGCCAAAGTTCCAATTCATCCACCTGAACTTTACCCACTAAGCATGACGCCATTACGAAGTAAGGGTGGTGAAGATGCCTGCTTGTCTTCCCTGATCCGGCTGGCCGGTTCAGTGAATGTGCACCACGCATGTGATGTCCCCCGTGCCTGAAGTGACAATTTTGGCATACCCATGGGCACCTACACTCAGGAGTTGGTTGTTTGGATTGATGACGGATGGCCTGTTGGACCTGACGTTGGGCGTAGAAGCGGGTCAAATACGTGCCTACGATAGGTGCACACATTCTGGTGTGTGAAAGAAGAGCAGAAACCCTTAAGTGGGGCGCTGCAACTTCATAACAGTAACTATGGTGAACACAATCCCCGGCCAAACCTTTCCTGACGCGCTGCAGGGTCCATGTTAAAATTCTGCAGAACCGCGAGGGCATACATTCCGCAGGCCCACGGCTCCGATGTCCCGTGTTTACGGCGATAGATATCAAATGGATGTTGGCTAAACTTGTTTTCAGTTCACAGCATGCACCGGACACCACCCGTGCAGAGCCAACTACCGGAAGGCACGCGTGCCGAACGTGATCTACTGCTTAAATATGCATGGCAGTAAATGGACGTCGAGCTTTTGACGTCTGTTCAGACACGTTAAAACAGGCCAGAAAGTGGCTCACAGCTATTTTCCAGAACTATGAGGGACGCCTCCTTCAGGAAATGGCATCCATAAACCAACTTGGCAGCCCTTTGAATATATATACACCACACATTATATATATATATATATATATATATATATATATATATATATATATATACATATGTATATGGGTATTTTCATGCATTATTCCCTCTGTGTTCTTCAAAACATGTGCCACTGCTGCCCAGCATGCACTGGGAAGGGTCAAACTGATCACCAGTCTGCTGTCTTATGGGCTGACAGTATGTAAGAGAGACAATGCACAGGATCATCAAGTTTAGTGTGTCAGGCGCAACATGTACGTGTACTGGCGCCACTGAGTTAATACCTTTTCTAAATAAAAGGAACCCCAATAACTATACATGCCCACTGAGTCAGTTGCACAAACAGCCAGTTCAGCCCGTTCACTTAAACTTAATTGGCGATAATAGATAAGCCTTGCTAGGCTCTGGCGCGCTTGCACGCCCAGCCAGCGCGCGTCATGCACGGACAGCGGCGCGTCGTACCTCGCTTCGGTTTGGGAAAGCTCTCGTGCAGCTGGAAGACGACTTTGTCGATGAAGGCCTCCACCGGGTTCTGGTCGGGTCCGCGCACGAACACGGCCCAGTCGTGTGTGTAGCCCTCGGCGGTGGGCTCGTCGCGGATGACGGCCCGGTGACCCAGCTCCAGCATCACCTGCACCGCCTGCCGTCGCAGGTCATCGCCGGTCAGCTCGCGGCGGGGCGTGTTGCGCCAACCCTGCCACGACCCGCACCGGCCACCAGCGCCCGGCGCCCGGCCCAGGCCCGAGCGCGGCCAGAGATGAGGCGTGGCCGACTCATGGCACTGTGGTTGAGTTTGTTGATGACTACCTTTAGGTGCCAAATAATGCTAACAAACATCGGCACAAGCGCCAGTATCTCGCGCGCCGACTATGGTTGCTGACAGTGTCATGCTCAGACAGTTGTCTGGCTACTGAAGAAAAGATAACACAATCCAGCTTAGCCACATTCTGAAAGCATCAAGCAGGCCCTAGTAGGTTCTGAGCACATTCTCATTGCATGATGCAACATGTAGTCATCATAAAATGATACTTCCACTGCCCATACATATATGGGCTTTGGACGATGCAAGTTGTCAGGAAATATATACCAACAAAGTGTCCATTACAGATTACAGAACACATGACATGTGGTGTTATTAGACAGCACCACAGAACATGAACTCATGCCTTTGTCCAGCATGAACTTTTAAATTTCACAAATGATTCATGGAGAGCTACCTCTCAACAAGAACAACAGCTTAAAAGGAACATACATAGACACTTCTTTACTCCACTACAGAACATAAAATCAAATCCTTGATCATAATACCACATGTACTGATAGAACAAGAAAAAATGCTTGGAACATGCTGATGATGCCTCCACATACCGAGTATGCCATGGCTTCCCTGTGTCTGCTCATTGGCTCCAGTCCATCTGCAAAGCACAAACAGCCCAACATCAGCTCACTTCCAGTGATCACTGCCCAGTAGACTGGAGCTTTAGTTTGAGATTGAGGAACAAAATACACATTTCAAAGCACCTAGTGAGATGGAGGATATTCAAAGTCCATATCCTGTATTGATGCATGAACATCTGAATCTTCAACCTGGGTGCAGGGTTTAGCAATATTCTAGTAATAGCTAGAAACAATGAGGAGACAGATTCTGCTATTGACTTTCACTGTTGGTGACCTCCAACAAACAAGAAACTATCATACACATTAGCTTAAGTGCAATCACATTGTGCAGCATGTGATGCAGGCTGTTATTGATATGACAAGGTATCAAATCAAGATACTTCAACCAGGCAAGAAACATTTTTTCAAGACTTCATACCTTGAAAGGCATTTATAGGATGCATGCACCCCAAATCAATAGGTGGTTTAGGCATCTTGCACATGCTAACAACCACTGAACAGCCCTGTGCATGTGTTAGACAGAATTTTGCATGGAGGCATTGTTTCAACCCAGTAAAACAATGTGGCCCCAGAAGAGTGTGGTTTCCACCAAAATTGTTTTTCCAGTCGCATGCATAACAGAAAATTGTCAGCATCTGAGCTTACAAATACTTCTGTGAATATTTGAAGAATAAGTTGGTATCAATTCATGAGTCTTTGACAATGCAGTCTTCTTGTCCAAGAGCAAAAGATGCCTTCAAAGTTAATATGCACCATAGCAGATGTTTGAGACAAAACAAACATTCAAATGCATGCCAGAAAATGATCATTTCTCATTAAACAAACAAAAACCATGGCATAATAATGTAACAGACCCAAATGCCTGTTGCTTCATGGTTATGCTAAGTCAACTTAATGAAATGGACAAATCTGAAGGGCTAAACTTCATTTTATGACATGACTCGACATGAGTGAAACCAAATCTCTGAGACTGGCTAAATCTGGATATGGGGGGGGGGGGTCAAAGCCAGAGTCTGGGGAACAACCTCAATAACAAATGGTATGCTGGATGACAAAACATGACAGATTGTATTTACAAACAAACTTAGATGAACAAAAACAGTATTTGAAAAATGGGGATGTATTGCTGCAATCTTTCACTTATTTCACCCACCTAGCTCAATATACAATATACAAGGATATATGACATTTAATGATGTGTTTGTTGTGGCAGTTGTGTAATTTGTATGTTCATTTTGAAAAAGGCATTGAATAATTCAGTAGAATTTGTACCAAAATAGGATGCAATGGGAAAGAGCTACCACATAATTAAATCTAAATCCTAGCAGCACTTAAGCCAAGGAGTGGCAGCTGGCAAGAGTACATGAACGTGCATGTTGCTTGATACCCTGAGTTTGAAAAGTTGCTTTGTCAGATAAGAGAAATATCTTAAGGCAATCATTTGCACACAGTCTTATGAACCATACAATTTAATACCACCAAAATTCAGAGCAGTCCTATCCAATCCCAGACTGTCTATGGTTGCACCCATGCATGTTGCTATCCATTAATGCCTCATATTCTCACCATTTAAGCTTTGTATGTTTGCTCTATTTTAAGCCATTCATTGTCAATTAAAATCATTTTACCACCACTGGAGAGAGACACAAGAGTAGCCACCAAGCATTGAAGAATCTATACATTAAATCTGCAAAACATGCACTTACTTCACTGCAGCCTTTTGCACTCTGCACTACTGGACAGCACACTGGCAGCAACTGATTGCTAATTCTTGCCAGAATTTTACACTCCCTGGGCTTACCTTGTTTGACAACTTATACTAAATGGAAAATCCCACCATGGGGACAGCCTCAAACACTGACATACAGGGCCAGTTAAGTTTGTTTTTTACCTTTATAGGGTAAAGTCTTGACCATAATAAGACAATGACACAGAATAAATGGGTGATTTAAAAACACAATATCATCTAGTCAGAGAAAAGTGGGTAAATCTAGACAAATGTGTCTTAGAATGTAAACTACAAACTATTTGACAAAAACAGACCACACACTTGTACTACCAATCCCACACGGCTTTCTTCATTTGAGAAAATAAAGCTGGATCTGTTACCATCGCCTCAAGCGGTTAGACTATAACTACCAATGCAAATTGCGTTCATGGCATATGAATAAGTACAACGATGTCCTCCAAACGGCCCTGAAGTGGTTTCAAGGTGCAAGACAACTGTACTTAAAAAGCAGCACATTCAAAAACAACACAACAGACAAATCGGAAGTTCCTGGGTAATTTTTTACTTGGGTACCTGTATGGCCGACGGAGGGAAGAGCTACGCTAGCTGCAGGGTTTCGAGTATTGTCGTGTGGGGCAAAAGCTGTGAGGCATCAGCTAACATTGTGACGTCACTGAAAATGGTTTTGCATCGATCGGGATCGGGGTTCTTTCGGGCCGACTGAAGGCCATAAGGCTTTTGCTTGTGATATGATGTCACTGGTATTCGGCTGGGTATGTGACGTCACTGGTCGTGAGTGTGTAAGGCTCTTTTGGGTCCACTGAATGCCGTAATGCATCAGCTGACCATGTGTCGTCACTGGTATTCGATTGGACATCAGGCGCGGCCGACCTCGTTCCATCTTTACTTTTCGTACCTGTCTGCTGCAAGCATTTGCGTGCCGCATAAAGGTTTGACCGAATTACCCCAATGTGTGACATCCCTAACCATCACTTCATACGAGTGCACTTAGGCCCCACGACCACGGTGTGTCGTGGTCCGCGAAGTATCACCGGATAGCGTGACGTCACTGGTATTCGAATAAATACTGGGCGCAACAGGCCGTGCTTCATTTTTACCTTTGTACTTGTCTACTGCAAGCATTGGCGTGCTGGATGAAAGCTGCCGAACCACCTGAGTGTGTGACATCACTGGCCATGAGTTCCAACGGTGCTTTTCGGCCAACTGAAGACCGCAAGGTGTCAGCTAGCGACGTCACTGCTATACGACTGTAAGACGTCAATGGCTGTGGGTTTCCACGGGACCTATAGGACCGACGAAATGCCGTTAGGTATCAGCTGGCGATATGACGTCACTGGTATTTGGCTGAACATCAGGCAACAGGTCATGCCCCATTTATACCTTTCGTACATGTCTGCTGCAAGTATTGGCGGATTTTTTGTGCGGCCAACTAAAGACCATAAAGCATCAGCTAACGATGTGACGTCGCTGGCACTCGACTGTGCGTGTCGCTGGTCATGAGGTTTTACGGCCTCTTTTGGGCCGACGAAAGGTCATACGGCAATGACTGAAGATGTGACGTCACTGGTATTCGAATGAACTTCGGGCGCGACAGACCATGTTCCACCTTTATCTTTGGTACCTGTCCATTGCAGGCATTGCCGTGGAAGGCTCTGCCAAATTACCTGAGTGTGTACGTCACTGACCATTAATTTGCACACTCTTTTGAGCCTACTATAGGCCACAAGGCATCAGCTGACGATATGATGTCACTGGGTTTCGACTAGACATCATGCGCAACAGGCCATGCTCCATCTAAGCCATGTTTCGTCTGTACCTTTCGCACCTATCTACTGCAAGTATTCGCGCGACACAGGGGCTCCGCCGAATTACCTGAGCGTGTGGTGTAACTAGTTATGAGTTAACGCGGGTTTACTCTGGCTGAATGAAGGACATCAAGCATCAGCTGACGATATGACGTCACTGGTATTCGACTAAACTCCAGGCGCGACAGGCCATGTTCCATCTTTACCTTTCGTACCTGTCTCTTGGAAGTATGGGCGTGCTGAATGAAGGCTCTGTCGGGTCTCCTGAGTAAGTAACGTCACTGGTCAAGAGCTTTTTACGGGACCTTTTGTACCCCCAAACGGTAAAATGCATCAGCTGATGATATGACGTCACTGGTGTCCGACTTAACATCAGGCGCGACAGGCCATGTTCTATCTTTACCTTTCGTACCCGTCTATTACAAGTATTGACGTGCTGAATGAAGGCTCTGTCGAGTCTCCTGGGTGTGTAACGTTACTGGTCATGAGTTTTTTCTGGCTCCTTGGAACCCTCTATAGGGAAAATGCATCAGTTGACGACATGATGTCAATGGTGTTCGACTTAACATGAGGCGTAACAGGTCATGTTCCATCTATGCCTTTCGTACCTGTTAAGTATTGGTGCGTTAAATGATGGCTCTGCCGAGTCACCTGAGTGTGCGACGTCACTGGTCATGAATTTTTACCGACTATTTTTGGCTGAGCGAAAGCCATAAGGCATCAGCTAACGAAATGACGTCACTGGTAATCCACTGAGTGTGTGACGTCACTGGTCATGGGCTTTTACGGGCCTTTTTTGGCCGAGTTCAGGTCATTAGGCATCAGATAACGTTATGGCGTCACTTGTATTCGAATTAACATCAGTTGCAATAAGCCATGTTTCATCTTTACCTTTTGCACCTGCCTACTGCAAGTATTCGTGCGCTACAAAAAGGCTCTGTCGATTCGCCTGAGCGTGTGGTGTAACTGGCCATGAGTTTGTGCAGGTTTACTCGGGCTGACTGACGGACATCAAGCATCAGCTGACGATATGACGTCACTGGTAATCGACTAAACTCCAGACGAATGATCTGAGTGGGTGACGTCGCTGGTCATGAGTTCATACGGATTCACTTGGGCCGCCCAAGGCCACAAAGCAACACCTGCCGTGAAGCATCACAGGATGATATGTCGTCACTGTTATTCGACTTAACATCAGGTCCAACATGCCACGTACTTTCTTTACCTTTTGTGCTTGTTTATTAAAGGTATTGACGTGCTGAATGAAGGCTCCGTCGAATCTCCTGAGTGTGTGACGTCACTGGTCACGAGTTTTTTACGGGCTCCTTTGAACCCATTTTAGGTTATAATGCATCAGCTGACGACATGACGTTACTGGTGCTCGACTAAACATCAGGGGCAACAGGTCATGCTCCACATTTGCCTTTCGCACCTGGCTGCTGCAAATATTCGCGTGCTATATGAAGGCTCCGCCGAATCACCTGAGTATGTGACGTCACTGATCATCAGTTGGTAGGAGGTCACTTGGCCACCTACGGCTACGGAGTTCCGCAGCAGAGGTGGGAGATGCACCATAGTTAAGCACACTAATTTTATTGTGCGCACCATTAAGTAACAACTTCAAACGCAACGGGCTGTTTCAACGACTAAAACTTTGAACAAACGTAAACACAAAACAAAGGTGATCCCAGCCCACAAACCGACGTATATGCAAAGCTATTCCGCCCGACATCACAGGATGCGCCCCTGAGCAGCTACGGTCCGGAATGTCCTGATGGCTAAATAATAATCAAGGGCGCCGCCTAGCGGCCATAAGTCTGGGCCACAGCCCGAATATCAGTGACGTCATATGGTCAGGTGATGCTTGATGTCCTTCAGTCAGCCCGAGTAAGCCCGCGTAAACTCATGACCAGCTACACCACATGCTCAGGTGATTCGGCAGAGCCTTTATGTAGCGCGCGAATACTTGCAGTATAGAGGTGCGAAAGGCAAAGATGGAACATGGCCTGTTGCGCCTGAGATTAAGTCAAATACCAGTGATGTCATATCGTCAACTGATGTCTTGAGCCCTATAGGTACAAAAAAGCAGCCCGTAAAGAACTCATGACCAGTGACACTACACACTCAGGGGATTTCACAGAGCTTTCCTTAAGCATGTCAGTGCTTACAATAGACAGGTACGAAAGGTAAAGACGAACATGGCCTGTCGCGCCTGGTGTTAAGTTGAATACCAGTGACGTCACATCGCCAGATGATGCTTGATGTCCTTCAGTCAGCCCGAGTAAACCCGCGTAAACTCATAGCCAGTCACACCAAACGCTCAGGTGATTGGGCAGAGCCTTTATGTGGCGCGCGAATACTTGCAGTAGATAGGTGCGGAAGGTAAAGATGAAACTTGACATATTGTATCTGATGCTTAATTGAATACCAATGACGTCATATCGTTACCTGATGCCTAATGGCCTTAAGTCGGCCCAAAAAGGCCCGAGAAAACTCATGACCAATGGCGTCACACACCTAGTGGATTACCAGTGACGACATATCGTTAGATGATGCCTTATGGCTTTCACTCGGCCAGCAATAGCCTGTAAAAACTCATGACGACGCACTCAGGTGATTCGGCGGAGCTAATATTAGGCTCGCCAATACTTTAACAGGTGCAAAAGGCAAAGATGGAACATGACATGTTGTGCCTGATGTTAAGTCGAACACCAGTGACATCATATCGTCAGCTGAAGCATTATACCATATAGGGGGTTGAAAAGAGCCCGTAAGAACTCTTAACCAATGACGTGATATAACACGCGAATGCTTGCAGTAGGCAGGTACGAAAGGTAAAGATGGAACATGGCCTGTTGCGCTTGATGTTGAGTCGAATACCAGTGACGTCATATCATCCCGCGATACTTCACAGGATATGATGCTTTGTTGCATTGAGCTGCCCAAGTGAACCTGTATAAACTCATGACCAGTGACGTCACGCACTCAGATGGTTCGGCATCACCTTGATATAGCACGCAAATGCTTGCAGTAAACAGGTACGAAAGGCAAAGATAGAGCATGGCCTGTTGCGCATGACATCTAGACGAAAACCGGTGACGTCATATGGTCAGCTGATGTGGTGTGGCTTACGGTGGGTTCAAAGCAGTCTGTGTAAATTAATGGTTAGTGACGTTACACACTCAGGTGATTCGGCAGAGCCTTCCTTCAGCATTCAAATGCTTGCAATGGACAGGTACCAAAGGTAAAGATGAAGCATGGCCTGTCCCGCCTGAATTTTATTCGGATACCAGTGACGTCACATCTTCAGTTAATGTCGTATGACCTTTCGTCGGCCCAAAAGAGGCCTTAAATCTGATCACAAGTGACATCACACACAGTCGAATACCAGTGACGTCACATCATTAGGTTATGCTCTACGGCCCTCAGTTGGCCCCCAAAGATCCATAAAAATGCATGACCAGTGACGTCACACACTCACGTGATTTGGTAGCTTTTATTCATCACGCCTGTACTTGCAATAGACAGGTACGAAGGTAAAAATGAAGCATGACCAGTTGCGACCAATATTTAGTCGAATATCAGTGACGTCACGATACCCGGTGATATTTCACGGAACATGATACACCGCGGCCGTGGGGCCTAAGTGCACTCGTATCAAGTGATGAGTAGTGACGTCACACATTCAGGTGATTCGGTCAAGCTTTTATTCGGCACGCAAATGCGTGCAGCAGACAGGTACGAAAGGTAAAGATGGAGTAAGGCCTGTTGCGCCTGATGTTTCATTGAATACCAGCGACGACATATCGTCAGGTGATGCTTTACGGCATTCATTGCACCCAAAAGATCCCTAAAGCCTCACAACCAGTGACGTCACATATCCAGTCGAATACCAGTGACATCATATCGCTAGCAAATGCCTTGTAGCCTTCAGTCGGCCCAAAAGAACCCCGATCGATGCAAACCCATTTTCAGTGACGTCACTACGTCGGCTGATACCTAACAGCATTTCTCCATCACGGCAGTACAGGAACCCTGCGGCCAGCGTAGCTCTCTCCCCACCGTCGGCAATACAGGTACCCAAGTAAAAAAAAGCCAGTTCCTGTTCACAAAAACCATGACAATAACATCATAAGCCCACGACATATAATAATACCGAAATGAGTCGATGACCCTCAGCTCCCCAACACCATTTGCGCTCTCTCGATACGTAAATTGTTTGTGAATTTGGCGCAGCTGTTCATAGAGGTCTCAAGTCCAAGGGAGCATGACAGCTGATAATGATGTCACGGACGACACGGCACCGAAACTGACGCCATAAAAGTATTCTATGATGTAATCAAACAATGATGTATTAAGTAGCGTATCCACTAGGTAGCAAAATTATGCTATTTAGAACAGACATTTAACCTTGAAGCATACCAGTAATGACAAGTGACCTCCCATCACATCTGAGTCTTGACAGAATGCTTTCATGTGCGCAAAGTTAATTGTCAAGCTTCGAGTGATTAGATGTTTTGTCCAGACACCTGAGTGGAACATGACGTTTTCAGAAATCTCCCCGTTCCTTCATTACCACGTTTGCCTTATAATCTATGAAAGCCCACTCCCTTTCGTTACCCCCTCTATCCGCAACATGGGCGCAGCCAGAGCTTTCGTGAGTCGGAGCACAAGGTTGGCAAAGGGCTAACTGATAATAAAAGGGCCCCATCCCGAATATCGCTGGACATGGCCCATTTGCTCATGACCGCATTACACATGTGCACACATACAACAAAAACATTTTTACCTTCCATATCCAGAATAAAGGCCAGGTGTCATGGCGAGATCAATGTTGTCTTAAACCTATAGCAAGCAAACTGAAAAACCATGCGGTAGCAATGTTCCTGTGGACTCTTTTTAAGCCGATAGAACTCAGAAGCATTAGCGGAATCTGTATCGGTAATGTACAAAGATATCAAGGACTCCGCGAATATCCATTGAAGATCATTATGGCTCAATAATTTGCATTAACATGGCCGAGCTATATTAGTCCAAATATCTTCAATCTTCAGACAGAATTGTTGAGTCATGCAAACTGTGTGACGCAGCTGTGAGCATGCGCGCTCACAAATCCTAGCGGCAAAAGCCTCGACGCTAGGCGTTGCAGTCCCCTTAGGCCGCGCAGGGTTTGCCCCGCTGCCTACACTAAGCTCTGGCCAACAGGTGGACGACAGCGATGACGCATTTGAAAGAAGTACCCTTCAACGCTTTTGGACATAAAATCATCCACTTAGAGGTATTGTGGGCGTGTATTTCATCTGCGCGGCTTTTAGATTGATGATAACGTATTGGTCTTTACATCGCCGGGGCCGGGCCCCTCAACGGGACCTCCGGGCGGCCTTTCGGGGTCTTAATCATACGTTGAATCCCCTACACCCACCCTGCCTGCACCACTGATCCACAACAAAATTTTCAAACGACTCGTGGACACTCGCGAGTAATTTGGTTCATGACGTCATCAATAGCTGTTATATGAAACGGATTTCTACTTCTGTGCTGTTTGCGCCACTGGCCCACTGCGCTACATTGGCCAAAATTATGATCGCCACTGAACCCATTACCCCGCAATGAACTATGAGCATTAAGGGGAACACGGAGAACCATTAGGGACGCTGGGGTGACTGAGGTAAGAATTGCCGGATGATTTTGGTTCGGAAGTGGATTTGTGTCATTAGCACACTATTTGAAAACGGGAAACTTGAATGCCTACGTTGGTTGATTTCGGAAAAAATCTGTGTGGTGGGGTTTTCGTCCTTGCCGAATCTTCAAGTAATTCATGCAATGAGTTATGTAAATAGACTGACCGTTTAAAATGACTAGATCACAACATGAAACCGGTTGCGGATTGAGTATTGTTGATGTAGCAAGTATATTGTGAGGAGCTGTGGAGTGTAGAGTGATGGCTGGGAGGCTGCAAATGTATACAGTATCATGTGTGCTACCTGTCCGTACCTTACCAAGTACATGATCTGGTAGGCCATGTTGCATGTCAGCTTGATCCTGTTGAGATCCTGACTTGTTAAGCAGCATCAAACCTGATCTATAATGATGTGTGTTAAGGGTGTGCAGTGTGCATATTGTCTGTATTTCAACATGCCCACTATGTCAGAGGGAGCTACACTCTGGGGAAAATCATTTTAGCCATTGAAAACTTGTGTTGAAGACATTCCTTCTGACCCCCATCTCCAACTGAGGCCTGCTAAGATTTCAGGCACAGACCCTCACAGGTTGTTTTGATGAGTAGAATGTGCATGTCATCAATCAATTGAAGTGCGAGATCTGGTCAACAGCAATCATGTATCCCAGGCACCTGTGATGGTGTTGGGATGACAGAGGATACAGAGCCTCTTGGTAAGACCTTTTGCTGATGTTTTGTTTGAGATTTGCTGCCTGCCTCTAGACACATTTCATCAGCTTTTGGTTGGCAGAGCTAAATGCCCCCTTCCCCAATATTGTTTGGATACACAGGGTAAGGCTGCACCAGCATTTTAAACAGATGAGGTTGGGTCATCTGATCAAGCAGCTTAAAGGACCAGCAGGTGGTCATTAGAATCTGGGATGGCTTGAATGTTAGACATGATTTCCTCTCCCTGCTTGTGGAACAATAGGTCCCTTTCTAAGAGCGACCCAGTTTCTTTTTGTCACAGCCTAATCCAACAGAATGCATCTCTTGCAACATAAACCAACTTCCTGTTTCCCCCACCAAGCTTTAGTGACTTGCACTTGCCATTCTTCACCAGCAGTGGCTTTCAGTGGCCAGGGCACCAACCAGACAGTCAGGGTATCAAGGTCTTGCTTCAATCCCATCAAAGCCTCACAGCTGGATGTGCCATTGTGCCATGAATCTTAGCTTAGTGTGAGATCTGTGAGGAGGTAAATGAAACCCTGTGTAACTTCAGGTAGATAATTAATTAACAGCTCAAACAGCAGGGAACCTATTATATATATATATATATATATATATATATATATAATTATAACATCATAACAGCTTGAACAGCAACAGGGAACAGAGCCATGTGGCATGTCTCTGGTGACTAGTGTCAAGGTGGACTTGCACCTTAACTGACACATCCTGGCACCTGTTAGTTGGGAGAACCTCAATCCATTTAATAAGTCTGTCCCTAATCTTAGAGTCACATGATAGACTCCGAGCTGGAATTATGCTGTACAGTGTCAATTAGATCACCAACTTTCATCATGTTCCTCCAACCTCCAATGGCTGTCAACAGATGAGTGGTACACAATCATTTGGGCCTGAAATCATGTTGGGCATTGTGTAATTGGTGAGTGGGGAGCAAGTGTCACATTAGAGGATCACAGGCAGTCATCTCAAGTACCTTGCATTCTTTTCAGCCAAGAAATAAAGCCTGCACAGAGTCTGTCTAGAGGCAATGTTTGTTTGTGCGGGTTGTGATGTGTAATGAAATGAAGGGGTATGACTAGGTGAAGGGTGTGGGTGGAGGAGGTGTTATGGTTATTTTACATTAGGTTAACTTTACATAGCTTAAGTATAGGCTTATTTGCAAAAAAATAATCCCTGTGCAGGATACATATGTGACAATAATGAGCATACATGACATTGATGCACAGAAACTTTTTATTCTAAATGGCTTGCATGAGCGACTTTTGGGCACACAATACCTACTTGGCATAGCTTGTGATATTTATACTGAATCTGTCACCCATGTCATGCAGAGCAGCTCAGCTGATGATTTGCCTCTGCCCTATTTTACCAGAGTGGAACAAGGAGGTTTTACGCTGCACAATGCTGTGCATGGCTGCCCCCAGGCCTGGATTGACCGTGGTTGGACAGTTGCCAGCTGACCTTTCCATTTCTGTTGGGTCAAACTTTGCACTTGCTTGTACTCATTGGAGCTGTATTGCAGGCACGGCATCTTTTGACTAGGCCATGGGACCTGGAGTACATGTGTGCCAAACTCAAGTCAAGCTAAACTGAGCTGAATTTCCAAGTTTGAAAAATATTGAGCTTTCTGTTTGCGTGACATCACTTCATCCACATCATAATTCCATGAAACATTGGTCCCCATGAGCTGAAACTTATGCAGACTGTGCACAAAGCTTGGGGGTCTCATATTCAGGATGTGTTTGCACTGATAGTTTTGCCAGGGTTTCACTACTGCCAGACATGTTTGGTGTGATGTGTATTTTCCTTAGTCTGGGGTATAGATAAGAGTTTGGTAGTGACTGGCTGATGCCAAGGAAGCAGTCATTGCTTGGAAAGCAATATACCTTATCTACTCATGTTTATGCAAGCTCAAAACTTGTTGCAGTTTCTAATGTTCCATTATGTTTTCTGATACAAATATGTTTTGAAATTGGTCCAGATGTTGCCTAAACCTTTCATTTAATGGATTTCTGGGGTCCCAGCCACCATCAGGTGAGAGCAGATTTAGCCATTTTTCACTGCTTATCCCCAACTCATGTACTATGCTCTTTTTGAGCTGCTGTTGCCTTTTCAGTGTAAACAGACAAGTATAAGGTATTTGGATGTGGAAGAAAAATGCTCTCATCTTCATCCTCACCTGAGCTGGAAGGAAGACATTCCCCTGAGATGGGAGAAGAAGCCATCAAGGCTAACAAGGATGAAGAGAAGAAAAAAGAGCAGGTGAAATCTGTGGTTGTTTCCAACTATATTATGGTTTGATCAGCCAATCAGACAAACATTTGTGATTTTCATCAAAATAAAGTTTAGAATTCCCCTAATGAGCTATTTCATGTAAAAGTATGCCAGAATAGTGCATCATGATGGCTTCCTGATGATGGTTCATGATGGTGGTGATGTTGATTCATGTTCATGTTCATCGTAGATCGGCGGTTACAGCTGCGGTTCATTACAGCTGCAACTTGCCATGCTGGTAGCCCCAGCTTAGTCCGCCGGCATGCTCGTTTGATGTGCATGACCCAGAATCGTGTCTGGATTTCAATTAAAACCTGATTCACTACGAATCACACCACTCACGGTAAATGTAGGTATTGTATGATGGTGTTACCGAGTGCAATGCGTTCACCATCGCCCGATTGTGTGTTTTAGGGAACAGTGATTTTTTCTATACCGGATGTGGCGCTGGTCGGGTCGCAGCCAAACTCCGATAGGATTGTTCCTGGTTCCCTGACCATCGTTGACAAGGTTAGACACCCGCAAAACTGTTTTCCTTGCGTGTATTTGTTTAACAATGACAGTGCAAGTGCGCGCATGGCTATAGCACACAACTCTTTTTTTGAACGGTTGGTGAAGACACCACCGATCTGGGAGGTCTACCTTTCAAAACTTCGTGCTGCTTATCTTGTTTTAATGGGCCGTGAACAAACCCAGAGTGCGTGCCATCTCTGTGCTGACGTCAGTCCGGGCCCGGCTCATGTGAGCTGTTCAGTCCGATCTGCAGCCAGCGCGTGTCGCGCCGGCGCGCCAGATGTCAGAACGGTCGCTCTCCTGGCGTGGTGGCCGATGTCGCCCTGGGACGGGGCTATGAGTTCCCCGCGTGGTTGGCAGGGCCACGGCACGTACATGGTGTGGAGGCGAACGGACGCCGCCAGTCCGGAGCGGACCGACGACCGCACCACCAGCCCGGCTCGCACCGACTGGGCGCTGCTGGAGCCGGCCGTCGGCTTCCACCGACACAACAGCCGCACGGAAGGTACGTGCGGCCGCCACACAGTCGCCTGCCCCGGCCGCCGGACGTCACGCGGTGAGGCGTTGACGTGCGTCTCCCGGCTCCGCCGTGCAGCGGCGCACGTACATCTGTGATAAATGCGCTGTGCAGGCAGTTATCGCCCGGCCTAAGCCCAGTCTCTGTCCAGCCTCAGCCTCAACCTCAGCCTCAGCCTCAGCCTCAGCCTCAGCCTCAGCCTCAGCCTCAGCCTCAACCTCAACCTCAGCCTCAGCCTCAGCCTCAGCCTCAGCCTCAGCCTCAGCCTCAGCCTCAGCCTCAGCCTCAGCCTCGGCTTCGGCTTCAGTCTCAGCCTCAGCCTCAGCCTCAGCCTCAGCCTCAGCCTCAGCCTCAGCCTCAGCCTCAGCCTCAGCCTCAGCCTCAGCCTCAGCCTTGGCTTCAGCCACAGCTGCAGCCTTAGCCTCAGCCTCAGCCCCAGCCTCAGCCTCAGCCTCAGCCTCAGCCTCAGCCTCAGCCTCAGCCTCAGCCTCAGCCTCAGCCTCAGCCTCAGCCGCAGCCTCAGCCTCAGCCTCAGCCTCAGCCTCAGCCTCAGCCTCAGCCTCAGCCTCAGCCTCAGCCCCAGCCTCAGCCACAGCCTCAGCCTCAGCCTCAGCCTCAGCCTCAGCCTCAGCCTCACCGCAGCCGTAGCCCAGCCGGTCGATTGCTTTGCTCCGCGCACAGTCGCAGCGCCCGAATGGCGGCTCATTGGGCTGCCCGCTGTTAAGTTCCGTCGCCGAGCTGTGCAGGAGCCTGTGGTGCATGCATCCCATTGCCGCCATCCGGCAATGAGTCCATTTTGTTCGAGTGCGTCATTGTGTGTGTGGGTGGGTCGGTGGGTGGGGCACACATCACAAAAATGGTGCTGCGAGGGTTTCGTTTTGCAGCCGAGATTTGGGAATTCCGCCATAGTACCTCGGCTGCTGAGTGCGTTATACAGCTCTGATGATCCGGAGACGCTGCTGGTGCCATCATGACGGCTGCCGGGGGCGCGGGTGCTGTGTCGGCGGCGACGGTGTTTGTTGACCTGTGACCTGTCGCCCACAGATGCGGTGTGCCTGGGGCGGGCCGAGCCGGCCCAGTTCCGGCCGCACCCGATCGAAATCGACCTCTCGGAGATCCGCTCTTTGCGCGTCACCGAGCAGGGCACGCGCTGCGTGATCGTGCAGAGCGATGGCAGCACGACCAGTCCTCTGCGGTTCCCGTCCCGAGCCGAGACGGACGCGTTCCTGGACACCGTGTACGGCGTCACACCCATTCAGAGGTGAGCGTCGCCGTGCCAGCTGCTCCGCGCCGGTGGGAGCCACCGGGGGGGCTCTGTTGGGATGGAAACCGGTCAATGGTGCGGATTCACCCCCGATGGTTTAGCTTTGAGGGATATTCGCCGCCTCTAGTCATCAACGGTATGCAGGGTCGTCTTATGGCTCAGGTGTCCCAATGAACTGCCAATTCGGCCTCCTTTTGGGAGAACATGTCTTGTTTTGTTTTGCAGCTCTTATCTCGCATCATTGTGATTGTGGCCATGCTCATCATTTGTCAAGGTAAAAGTAACTGGGTGTCGGTAATGTAGTGGTTAATACGTTCGCGTTAACCGCTGCACGTCTGGGAAACCAGAGGTACGGGGTTCGATTCCCCGCGGTGCCCGCCCTTCCGGCCAAGGTGAGAGGCAGGCGACGTCATATAGCCTCAGCAGCTGAGTGCGTCGTAAAGCCCCAAGGACACACACACCCAATGACACACGAGGTGAAAGTAACTAATATTTGTTATCGGTTTGCATGGTTTGGCCGCATGAAATGTCTTTGGTGACGTGGCGAGGTGTATGTCAACAGTAGGAAACATTTATGAGGTAACCTTTTCGATGGATAATGAAGATCCGTGCTATCCTGTGGTTTGTCGAAAGCCTGCAACTGTTTTGATAGCTTATTTTGATAATTGTTTGATAATTGTGTTTGCCAGGTTGTTTTGATAATTAGTGTCTATGGGGTATTTTGGTACTTTTGGAACACGTAAGCATTAGCAGCACGGCACGACTGATTTCAACCTGCGATGGGTCGCTGAATATCATCATCCAGTTCTGAGATCTGGTCTCTCATGTGTTAGAGTAAAACCATTAACTCGTGCCGTGAAATGCATGTTAGAATGGTGCATACAGGCGCCGGCTTTGTCACACCTCAACGCCGTCCGTGCGGCCAAGAATGGCGCACACAGGCACCGGCTTTGTCACGTCTCGGAGCTGATGGGCGTCGTCCGTGCGGCCAGGTCATGTCGGGACAGTTCTCTGTACCTGGCCGTGGACCGGCCGCCGGCGGCGCGCGCCGGCCCGTCGTCGCTGTACGAGCTGGCGCTGCCGGTGGAACGCTCATTCGGCTCTGTCCTCAAGTTCGTGCGCGACTTCCAGCAGGACCCGCGCACTGCCGCTCTCTCGGGCTTCGGCAAGCTGGCCGACACCTTCCGTGAGTGGGGGCTGCGCAGTGGGCTCGGACCGTGCCGCTGCCGCTGATCAGTGTCCGGCGCGGCCGGTCAGTGCCGGCCAGTCGGGCAGGCGGAGACGTTACAACGGCTTTTTGACGGCATGGATGAAATTTGGCTGCACTGTCTCGGTGTGTGCCCCTGTGGAACGTGATGGTCTTGACATCCCACGCGGGGATCGACGTTTGAGAGGGGGACACCAGAGGAGCCCAAGCGTTGAAGGCGTCGTTTAGCCCTCCTCCTCAAGAATGGTGTTATGATAGTTTGCTAAGTGTGATGGTGTGTTGTGTGGCGGTTGTGGCCGGAACTGAGTGCTGCGCCCCGCCGTGTGTCCAGTGAACCTGGGTCTGGAGGACCAGAGGCCTGCAGAGGACATCGCCGACCTGCTGAAGCAGCACAGCAGCGAGTTTGAGCCGCCGCGGCTGCAGAGTACGCAGCAGGAGGGTGCGTGCCATCTGCCGCGGGGTGACGCCGGCGCCTCGCTTGGTGCAGTTACAGTGCCAGTACTCGTCAGCGAATGTTATATTGGAGTGGCCCAAAAAATAAGTCAAAATATATTAAGAAACTGAAGGCATAAAGTGTTTCATCCAATGAGGAAATATCACGGGCAAATTTGTATTAGGCTGCGACGTTATGTGGTGTTATGTGGTGGTGGTGGTGATTTGGTGTTTAAGGGCGCGTCGGCATCGGGCCATTTTGCGCCCACTGGTGTTATGTGGGCGTGATATGGTGCCATAGACAATGGCGGTCGGTTTTCATGCACCAGGCAACGAGGTTCGAAGAACTTGACAAAGTGCCAGTGACGTTAGCCGGTAAGGTGGAACAAGTCAAACAGCACGCGTGTTGCCGTAGGGGACTCACTATAACGTGTTTTGGTCCAGATGTTGTACGGTTAAAGTTTCCGTTCGGTTCGGATGCGTGCCAGGCCCGTAACTCCACCTGACAAACACGAGGCCTGCGCCGCAGGATTCGAGGTGGTCACTGAGATCCATTTGGGCGAGCGACGGCCGGTCTCCAGAGAGCGCCCCCTCTCTCACCAAGAGTGGGATGGCTTCCACGACGCCGAGGGACGCATTGTGGACGCTGACCAGCTGCGTGAGCGCGTATTTCGCGGGGTAAGATGCCGTTTACCGTTCTCGATTACACCAGTCGTGAGTAGGGCCTAATAGCCGCACTACATCGTCCAGATAGGGTTGCTCTCTGGAACTGCCTTATATGACCACACCTGGCAACTTCATCACACCGGGCAACTTCCTCTCCTTGTGATCCGTATCCTGATCTGTATCCTGATCTGTGACCGGTGTCGGCTGCCTTTCTGCACGCATAACTGTGTTGGTGGAGCCTGCGCGGCTCGCCGTCCGGTGTTCTGTGCGCGCGTGCCTTGAGCTGGCCGGGTGGGGCCGGCAGGGCGTGGAGCCATCACTGCGCCCAGCGGTCTGGCCGTTCCTGCTGGACTACGACCGGGCCGGGATGACGACTGCAGAGCGGCAGCAGCACCGCGAGAAGCGCAAGGACGACTACTTCCGCATGAAGCTGCAGTGGGCCTCCATGTCAGAGGAGCAGCTGGCTCAGTTCGCCGGCCTCCGGGACCGGCGCGCGCTTGTCGGTGCGTGGTCGGCCGGCGCGCCGCGCCCAACCCGCAGAGTCCGCTCCGCTGCCGTGGAGGGATTGGCCGTCCGTCCCCCCCCCCCGCCGTGGAGGGATTGGCCGTCCGCTCCCCCCCGCCGTGGAGGGATTGGCCGTCCGCCTCCTCCTGCCGAGGAGGAGTTGGCCGTCCGCCCTCCCCGCCACGCACACCACGTACGCTACGTCTGGGATGAGCGCGCACATGCACGATGGAGCGAGGCCGCGTGGAAATGCCGCCCGACATGTTGCTGCCGCGCTGCCCGCTCATCGGCGATTTGTTCGTCTTGTTCAATATCTTGTACTTCGCTGCCGTGCGTGCCAGACTTGAGTGCAAGCACTGCAGACTGTGTTGCCCCTGTCCGCCATCGTGCCGCGGTGCGGTAGTCGCCACGGAGGTAAGGGGGGGGAGGGGGGGGGGGGGCAGGCGTGAATTTTCCCGCCTCGATCGGAGGCTTGCTTTTCAGAAATCATTTAAGCGCAGCTGAACCTTTCGCGTGATTTTCCGAACTTTTCACCAAGTGTTTGGGAGTAGATATTCTCAAACGGACAGATCGTCTCGCTGTAATGGCATTGGCGCCTTTCCGTTTGCAGGGAGGGGATGGCGCGACAGAGCGCTACACGTCAATAATATGATATTGCACTTGAAAAATAAGTAACCGTTAAGTAACCATTTCGCTATACCCATCTCAAAGCTTCAACGGTATGTTGAATCGTCTTGTCTGGCGCGCATGTCAGGGAAGTTTGATATGTTGAACAAGGTGATATTGAAGGTTTTGTTACAAGATTGTTTCGGGCTCTCTCTCTCTCTCTCTCTCTCTCTCTCTCTCTCTCTCTCTCTCTCTCTCTCTCTCTCTCTCTCTCTCTCTCTCTCTCTCTCTCTCTCTCTCTCTCTCTCTCTCTCTCTCTCTCTCTCTCTCTCTCTCTCTCTCTCTCTCTCTCTCTCTCTCTCTCTCTCTCTCTCTCTCTCGCTCTCGCTCTCGCTCTCGCTCTCGCTCTCGCTCTCGCTCTCGCTCTCGCTCTCGCTCTCGCTCTCGCTCTCGCTCTCGCTCTCGCTCTCGCTCTCGCTCTCGCTCTCGCTCTCGCTCTCGCTCTCGCTCTCGCTCTCTCTCGCCCTCGGCTGCGCTTTGATCTGAGCGGCTGCGCTTCTTGGCTCTTTTATTTTCTGACATTTGCTCTGCATTTATTTCTTGACCTCGCCTCCCCCTCCCACGAACACTAGTGTTGTGATTATGCCCATGTTAAATAGCTGGAGACGGGTCACTGCATACCATTTAGCTGTAACTTCAAAACTCAACTGGTTAGTACCCACCCATTATATATGCTTGGGCATATACGACGCAGACAAATCACCATGGTATTGAATTGACGCTATGTAATTCTTCAACTAAGCCATATTCGAATCAACGTAAAATGAACATACAGCAATATATAAATTCCGTAAAGTCAGTCGCAGAGAATGTCGCCACGCGCTGTGCCCCCCTCCCCCACCCCCTGTTTTAATCAGTCAAAAACGGCGTAGCATGCACTGGCTCCGACCGTCTGTAATGCCAATCTTGTCGAGTGGGTTTTCTTGGGCAGTATAACCGTATCCGTCGTGGCGAGCTTGTTTGTGGTGAAGATGACCCCTGGCGTAACCTGACATGCCTCAGAGAAGGACGTCACGCGCACGGACCGCTCCGAGCCGTTCTTCGCCGGCGGCGCCAACGTCCAGCTGCTGCACGACATTCTCGTCACCTACTGCATGTACAATTTCGACCTGGGCTATGTACAGGTGCGTCAGCCGGATCGGTCAGAGGTGGGCGGCAGGCCGGCCACCCGCCGGCCGGGCTGGACGCGCCCGGCCGCTGATATGTGCTGCCTGTGCTGGCTATCAGTTCTGCTAGTCGTCGTCGTCGTCAGTCGAGGATACCTGGCAGGCGAACAGCGCCATCTGGTGTCAGCCATGGTTGCCAGCTTTCGGCGACCCGTGGTCATCATTTTGGCATGTGTTTGCGTGCCGCGCCATGTCGTGGCGTGTCACGTCATGCCGTGTCGTGTCGTGCCGTGCCGTGCCGTACCGTGCCGTGTGGGACGATGCACGTCCGGCCCGGCGTGACCGCTGCCCGCCCCTGCTGACCTGACCCGGCCGTGACCGCCGCTGTTGCAGGGCATGTCTGACCTGCTCAGCCCGATCTTGTTCGTGGTCAGGGACGAGGTGGACGCCTTCTGGTGCTTTGTCGGCTTCATGGATCACGTGGTAGGGTGGGCTGCCGGGAGAAGGCTTGGCGTGATGCAGTTTCGGTCGACGATGGTTTTGCCCAGAATTCCGTATCTTTTCGGGTTGCCAACATGCCTGGACCTAACTGTATTACGACATATCTATTTATGGTCATGCAGGCGCTGATGCAGTCCGAACATGCCTTGGTATTTTTAGCACTATGACTCAGTTGCGGCCTGCAGAGGCGTACGAGATCAAGAGAACATGCAAGGCGCGCCTCGTTATGTGGTTTCTGAGGTCACGTTCTGTAGCGTGGTAAACTCTTATCTTATTGGAGCATGGTTACTCATCTCTTACATTGGTACACAAATGTGATGACCTTTTCGTTGAGTAGTCGTGTTTCGCGGGGCCGAACAGAACCAGACTGGGTTGACCTGTTGCTGGCGGTTAGTTGTGGTTGTCGGTCCGCCGCCGGACTAGCAGGCGCGGCGCCACGGTGGAAAGCCACGCTGACGTCTCGTCAGCGTCACGACCGCGCTGAAGAGGACCCCGATTCCCCACACCCTCACGTCTGCCTCCAGAGCAGCAATTTCGAGCTGACCCAGAAGGGCATGGAGCGTCAGTTCTCGGACCTGCGCGCGCTGCTGCAGGTGTACGACCCGGACTTCTGGACATACCTCGACCAGAACGAATCCAGCCGCATGTCATTCACGTTCCGGTGCGTGGTGCCTCGCTGTCATAGTGTGACACACCGCCACACCTGCCGCGCCGTGCCGCTCCAGTCTCGCTGTGGCGCCGCGTCATATTTCACGCCGCAGTCGCCCTGCGCCGTCCTGCAGTTGGTCCAGAGCCAGAGCGCCACCCTTCCCTGTTTTAATGTGCTGCCCCACCACGTTGCCACCCCGTCACACCGTGCCACCCCGCCACACTGTGCCACCCTATCTCACTGTGCTGTTCCCCCTGTTAATGTCGCCCTGTCACACCATGTAACCGCACCACACCGCCGCCCCACAGTATTGTGCCATCCCATTCCACCGTGCGGTCCCTCGTCACATGTCGCCGTGCCGGGTCTCACCATACCGTGCCAGTGTCGGTGACGTCGCCACCTGTCGGCGCGGCAGGTGGCTGCTGGTGTGGTTCAAGCGTGAGATGGAGTGGGCCGACGTGCAGCGACTCTGGGAAGTGCTGTGGACGCGGCGACCCTGTCCCAACTTCGTCCTGCTGCTGGCGCTAGCTGTGCTCGTCCAGCAGCGCTCCATCATCATGGAGTCCAGCCTGGGATTCTCGGCCATTGTCAAGGTGAGGCGTCGGCCAGCGACAGGCCTGCTGGCATCGGTGTAACATCGTCAGCAATCTGCCACCACCCAGCTGTGGCCCCAGGGGTCCTGCGGCTAACTGATGGCACATGTGGAGGATACCACCAAGTTGATTGTGGCGCAGTTGCCGGAACGGGTATCCTTCGAAGAGGTCAGAGTTGACCGAGTTCATCGAATGGTGGTGTGAACATTGCGGTACGCGTCGTGTTGGACCGTCCATCCATGACTGAGTTCTACCCTGGCACTCTGATTGGTCTGATGTTCTGGTCTCCTTCTATTCCGAGACGTCAGTTGTGAAATGGGTTACGTCATCCACAAGAAAGGCTGTCTGCCTCTTCTTTAATGAATCCCCGATTCCACGCCGCTTCTCATTGGTAACTTATTGATTTGTCGGCGCTGTGTACGTTTGGCCAGGATGTTGGCGGCCTGACCGCAGGGTTCCATTGGCCAGGATCGGATGTATTTTAGGGTACGACAGAAGCAGCAACTGTGACAGTTGTTTGGCTGTGCTAATGCTGGTCGTGTTTGTTTACTGCGGCAGCACGTCAACGACTTGGCAATGCATATTGACCTGGAGGCCAGCTTGAAGCTGGCGGAGGTCATATACCACCAGTTTCGGGAAGGAACGCGAGTGCCCACCGCCGTGCGAGCCATCATCGGCCTGGCGCCAGGGGAGGCCGCTACCAGCGCTGCCGACTCGCTCTCCAGCCAGCGCAACAGCACGAGCGACGACGAGCGTGCCTACGAGAAGGCGCTGGCCTCAAATTTCACGTGAAGCATGCACATGGAGTGCGTTGCCGGCTGTGGCGCGAATAGTTCTGTTCAACAACAGCTGCTGCTGCTATTGGCCGACCGGCCTCACACGTGCTGGCTGCGGCGGCCTTGACAGCAGTGGGGTACACGCCAAGATGTAATGAAAACGTGCTGACGCAATTTGAGGGATGGCTGAACTTGTTCAGCTGCCAGCTTCCAAGCTAAGCGGATGGAGCGCGCGGCGTGTAAAACGCTTTTGGCAGTTGGCGGACTGAGGAGCCTCAAATTGGCTTTGCAATGTAAAATATGAAACAGCACTTGCCTGTGCCACCACACTGAACACGAATGTCCCCAGCAGTATGTTGCATCATATAACTGCCGCTCGCTACATGTGTAGCCCTTCTGCATGCTGTGCATATATGCGTTGTCGCGGAAACTTTGTACATTTGGTTGTGATTGTCACATTACCATACAATGGGCATTTCGTTCCACATAAGATGAGTGTGAATCCAATTAACCAGATGCCACTTAAGTTGTATAGACCTAGTATGAGGCGTTTGGTATCGAAGTGATAATGAAACGACATCCGATTGTATGACAATACCTTAGGGGGTACAAGGGCGTCCTGATGGACCACTCCACGCCGCACATATTTCGTGTTATTATTACACTGCCATATTTGTTTAGCGGCCGTTTCTGAGATGAGTGAGCACGACCGATTGTCTCGTGCCTGCCGCTGCCCTCGTGACCGGGGGTCGCTCCAAGTGTAGCGGTATCTGGTGTGTCGGCGCGTGCGGATGGCTGGTGCTGGTGACTTTACAAGTGAACAGTTAGCTCCACCAGCAGCGTGTATGTCCCAAAGATGCCAGTAGATTGCCCCATAAGGAGACACCTTTGACACATCCTGTCACTTGATGTGTAAGCCGACTGTAGCGATTATATTTTCGTACATCATGAGCAATACATGGGTTTCATGCTGTATTGCGTAAGTTGCGATTGCACTTCGGCGGCTGGTGCAGCCCATGAGACATCGACGAGCCTCTCGCCGGACCGGCTGATACGTATTGAAACGTCCAGAGCTCATGACTCCATGAGTCAAAATGTCCAGAATTGCAGTGTCCGGCGTTCACAACATCCAGAAACCGTCCGATATCCCTGGACGGAGGAGAATCCGAAAGTCCAGGCTCGCAGCGTCCAGAGTTCAAAACATCCCGCGTCCGTAAAGTCCAGCGTGGGTGAGATCCACGGGTTGGGATGCTGTCCCACTTCCTCGCAACCCTTCCCGTAATGGTTCGGATATTGCCCAATAGAGGGCTACCGGGCTGATTTCGCCCGCCCCAGCCGACGAGTGACGTCATGCGGTACAGTGCTGCCCAGTTAAACTACTGTGCATGGATATAGACAGCGTTTTGTTTGAGTGCACAAACTGCCACGTCAGCACGGCCTTGGCAGCAGGCGCATTAAAAAATTCAAAACTGATGCCTGGCTCTTGGCATCGGAAATAGCTGGTTGTTCGGCAGTAGCTGCGCGGTAATCGTGGCAAGCACTTGTCGGGGGTGCCCGCTGCTTGGTGTGGGCTATGGATAAAATTCTCCGCGGTAGTTTGTTCCGTTACTTACTGTATGTGTGGGTGATGTTTCTCATTTTGCGAAGGTATTGATGACTGATGTGTAAGGCTGACTGGTTTGATGTCTACTCCAGGTAGGCACGCATATAGATCTCCAGATCCTGGCAAGCTAACCTATATTGTTGGTGATCTTATTTGGCTGATTTCCCTCCCTCCTCCAATTTGCAAATTCTTTCGCACGCTTCTGCAAACGGGACTTATTCTGAATTCTACATGCCTTTACTCTCAAAAAGAGGGGGTGGGGACTGTCTCATCAGCCGAATTCGGATACTACTCCCTGGTGAGACACGTTCAATGGCCCAGCCCACAAACAATTCGTCTCTTTAATTATGTACGTTTTAAACGGGCGCGATCTACCAAAACAAGTTGGTTGGCTGAACAATGAAAAAAACAACGAAGAGTACCGTGATAAGATGCTAACAAATTGGTTTATCTCCGAATTTGGCTCACTTTCTCACAAATCTGCAGGCTGCATCCCAAGTTACGGCGGGGGATGAAACCCCTGCAACTGAATAGGGAACCGCACTCCTGGTTGCAAGTAAACAGGAAGTAAAGAAGCAAGCGTTGACTGCGAATGTATTCAACTGCCTGCCAAACGTCACGCAAAACACCACATACTTGCCGCGCTTAAAGGCGATGTTGATTCACCATCTGAACAGCGGGGCCCAGTATGTCTCACTGAGCTGGTTTGCGATAGATAAGCGGAATGAATTGGGGAAATTGCGGGCTTGTATTTACCATCCACTTCATCAACCTTGACACGCTTTCTTCCTTTTACGCTTCAGAACCTCCTAAGTATAGAATTCGGGGTCCAGCAACACCAGTCTGGAGTTTATCGAGACGGGTGCAGTTCGCGCTGCAGAGGGGCGATGGTGGCATGGTGGTTAGTGGTTAGGGTGCTCATCTCTGGATTTTGCTATCCTGGGATGGAGTCCTGGCCACACCACTACCTCATCCCACGTGCCTAATGCCTAATAAATACGTGATAGAAGTGTTCCGCCTCGAAATAGCCATAGCAGCCGGTGAGACGTAAAGCCCCAATCGGCATTATAGCCCGTCCCGACAAACAAACCGCCGCCCGCCACATTTGTTGACAATAACTCCGCTCAATCACGGTATATATGTGGGAATATTAATGTGCAATCGGTTGGACGCGGAGCTCGGACACACAGGCCAGACCAGAGGCTGCCCAGCTCGACGGTCCGGCCGGCAGTCACGCCCACGGCGGGCCGGCGGACGTGACAGCCCGGCCGCCAAAAAAAGAATGCATTGACGCGCGCGCCGTCCCTCGCCCGAGAACGGAACCCCGCCACACGCACACGAGGCCTGTCCGTGGGGTAGCCCGTCCGCGGTCGAAACACTGCCAGCTCACTGGGGTACGTCGTCATCTTTGCGTCAGAGCCCGAGGCCCCTGGCTCGGTTTCACTCGGTTCGCCACAATACACATCCTGGCTGACCGGACATCCGGACATGTCGGACATCCCGGATGTATCAAGCTCGTGCTGGACCGGAGTTGCCTCCCCCCCCCCCCCCTCCTCCATTTTGATGGGTGCCTTAATGGAAGAGCCTCGTGTCAGTCAAGTCATCGTCCTCGTGTCAGTCACCGGACAGGGTTCCTCTGTCCGTTTTCTCTAGGGCCCAAATGCATGGAGCTAAGATCCCTGTGTCATTTATTAAACCCGCTACGCTTAGGACCTTTTTGGGTTGGGAAGCTGCCCGCGTTGATCCAGGGTCAACCATCCCGGCCAGAGGGCCTTCGGCGTCAGAGAAGGGACCAATACATCATGTGTATCAATAGTAGCCGATAGGCAATCAGAAAGGGACGGAAAGGCACTTCGGCCCCAATCGGGAAATACATGGGGTGTCAAGTTTTGGTTAAGGACTCGATTGGGGTTTGGCTGTTGAAGGAAGGGGGGGGGGGAGAAGGAGAATGGCGAGGTGTCCAGGAACCTCTAAGAGGAGCTCTTTTCGGAACCGTGAAGTCAAAAAAAGACCGTACTGAATGAGAAGAGCAAAATATTTTGCCAAATAAGAGTTCAGACAACAGCGTAGCAGCATCTGGCAGCCCGGGAAGTCCCTTCTGGTAAATTTGGTGGAGCTCCTCTGGCCGGTCAGTCAGGACTTCCTGTTTGCCAGGGGTACACTGGTATTTAAAGACCCTTACAATTTCTTAGACCTCTGTTACCTTTCAGACTATGCATACCAAGTAAACCGGGAAACCACTTGGATACCCTGCCCGCTCAGCGGTCGCATTGACCGCTTAGGTACCTCCAGCAGCGCACACAAGAGATGTACAGGGGCACGTGCCCCCCCCCCCCCTCCCCGCCCTAGGGCTATAGGGACAGACGAGATTAAAAACTCGATTCGTGGCTTCGAAGGGCTCGGCGGAGACCATATTAGGAATCCCTGCCGTGCAGCCCGGGCCCTCAATGCCTGTCAGAGGGCCTTTGCGCCGGTCGCGGGCATTCGGAGTGGATGAGGGCCTCTACGTCGATCAGGCACAACAAAAACCGAACAGTCCTAAGCAGGGACAAGACCGGGCCCGTGACTCGCATTGGTCAGGGCCACCGAAACAATGGAGTGTGGGTGCTATGGAGTTCACCGTCATTTGGGTCCGCGTTTGACCTTGAAGTGTGACCTTGGGAAGTCAGGACGTTTTGGCGGACGCTTCCCCTTTCTGTGATGAATGTTCCGATTTATGTAAAACAAAAATCGGTCGGTAATTTTGGGGTCATATGGAGTTTTCCGTCCTTTGAGCCCGCGTTTGACCTTAAAAGGTGACTTTGATAGGTCAGGACATTTTGACGCACACTAGTTCTTTGTATGGTGAATGTTCTTACGATTGTAAGTTAAAAATCACTCGGTAATTTTGAGTGATATGGAGCTCCCTGTCATTTGAGCCCGTTTTTGACCTTGAAGAGTGACCTTGAGAGGTCAGGACTTTTGGACGGACACTAGTTCTTTCTGTGGTGAATGTTTTGCTCTTTGTGAGTTAAAAATCGGCCGGTAAATTTTGGTGATATGGAGTTCCCCGTCATTTGAGTCCGTGTTTGACCTTGACGTGATTCCTACAGGGGTCAGGACTTTTTGCCGGACACTAGCTCTTTTCGTGGTGAATGTTTTGCTCTTTGTCAGTTAAAAATCGGCCGGTATTTTTGGGGTGATATAAAGCTCTCCTTCGTTTGAGCCTGCGTTTATCCTTGAAAGGTGACCTTAAGAGGTCAGAACTTTTTGGCGGACACTAGTTCTTTTTGTTGTGAATGTTCTCTTGTGTGTTAGTTAAAATCGATCGGTAATATTTGGGTGCTATGGAGTTCCCCGTCATTTGGGTCCGCGTTTGACTTTAAAAGCTGACCTTGAGAGGTCAGAAGTTTTTGACAGCACTAATTATTTCTGTGGTGAACGCTCTGATATTTGTTGGTTAAAAATCGGGCGGTATTTTTGTGTCATATAGCGTTCCCCGTTTATTTAGACCGCGTTTGACTTTGAAGGGTGACCTTGAGAGGTCAGAACTTTTTTGACGGACACCAGTTATTTCTATGGTGAATGTCTTGCTCCTTTTAAGTTAAAAATCAGCAAGTAAATTTTGGGTGATATAGAGTTCCCCGTCATTTGAGTCCGCGTTTGACCTTCATTTTTTTGTGATATGGAGTTCCCGGTCATTTGAGCCCGAGTTTGACTTTGAAGGGTGACCTTGAGAGGTCAGGATTTTTTGATGGACGCTAGGTCTTTTTTGATGACTGTTCTGATGTTTGTTAGTTAAAAATCGGTCAGAAATTTTTGGGTGATATAGTGTTCCCGCCTTTTGGGACCGCGTTTGACCTTGAAGGGTGACCTTCAGGGGTCAAGACTTTTTGACCGACGCTAGCTCTTTTTGTGATGAATGTTCTGATGTTTGTTAGCTAAAAATCGACCAGTCATTTTTTGGTGGTATGGAGATCCCCGTCCTTTGAGCCTGCGTTTGACCTTGAATGGCTACCTTAAAGGTCAGAAGTTTTTGACGGACGCTATTCCTTTCTGTGGTGAATGTTCTGATGTTTGTTAGTTAAAAATCGGTTGGTAATTTTTGCGGAATATGGAATTCCTCGTTGTTTTAGCCCGCGTTTGACCTTGAAGGGTGACCTTGAGAGGTCAGGACTTTATGAAGGGCATTAGTTCTTTCTGTGGTGAATGTTTTTGCTCCTTGTAAGTTAAAAATCGGCCCGTAATTTTTGGGTCATATAAAGTTCCATGTCATTTGAGCCCCCGTTTGACGTTGAAAGGTGACCTGAAGAGGTCAGGATGCTTCTGACGGACACTAGTTCTTTCTGTGGTAAATGTTCTGATGTTCCTTAGTTAAAAATCGGTCGGTAAT